GGCAAAGGTTGTAAATGGGTTAAATTAGCCTGCACTGTAACTGGGTTAAACTAGCCTGGGTTGTAGCGAATTTACACCAGCCTCTTGTAACTGGATCAAGCAGTCTTTGATCTGAATAGCTTGACAGTCTGATCTAAGGGGCACAAATGTTCCCCAGTTTGTTCACATAAACAATCTACCTACCTATTAATCCATCCATCCATCTATTATAATGGTCTTTAATTCAATACAAGCCTCAAATGGGTCCCAGGAAACATCCTGTAATTAAAGGTGCTCAACATTCAGCTGATCACATCCGCAGAGTACCCACTGGCCTCTTCTTCTTCTTTGTTTACCAGAAAGTTCAGGTTGTTCATTAATTAGGACTTTGGCTTTGGGCCATGGTCTGAGTTTTGCATACACATCCATCTTACAATTTGTGTGCAGTTGGCTGTTCCTTGCCGCTCGGGCGGATACACTCGGACATTCTTGTTGAGCATATTCTTGTTAACTTCACAATGAGACCCCAGAACCCACATGGGGAGATTACTCTATTAGAAACAAAGTCGTGGCACCAAAAGCCAGTTGTGAAAAGGGCCCTTGGCAATTTTTTTTTAAAAACTAATTCACTAACTAAACTTTCTTTTTCAAAATAACACAGCTTTAATATAAAATGTTATAATCAAATTTTAAAAGTTTGTAAGATCTTTAAATTTTTTTAAAAACTGGTAAAGTTTTGGGAAATAAACATTCAGACTGCTGATAATATTTATGGATAAGCTGCAGGTTTTCCAGCATATCAGGAACTACTTTAGAGTTGGCTCCCTTTCATGCCAGTAAAGTCAGACCCCCCCCCCCCCCTTTTTTTCGTTTGCTGATGAAGGCTTAGAAACCCAAATATCCATTTCAATAACTGCGACTGAAAAAAATTTAAGTGTTTCTAATTTGCATTTCCCCAATTTACTCTACTGATAGATCAACCACAAACTAATGACAACACCAACAGACTTACAAAATATGTGACAAGCAAAAAACAGTGTGCAATTAAATCATGGAAAAACATCACACCCAAGGGACTTTCCTTTCAAATAAACCAGATAAAAGAGATCAACCCCGGGAAACCCTCCAGGCCAACGAAACAGATTGATAAACTGATAGGACGATTTTACTGGCACTGACAGATTTGAAATACCTCTATTTATGTCTGTATGTCCACAATCTCGACTTTTTTCAGTATATACTAAATATCTCTAATTCTTTCCATATATCTTCATATATCTACAGCACTCTTACGTCCTCCATACCTCTGCTGAATTCCCCATGTCCCTAAATCTCTACTTTTTCAGTATGTCCTCATATCTCTACCGAATTCCCAATGTTCCCCATATGTCTACTTTTTCTCCCCTGTATCAGTGAGTGACAATTAAATCATATCAATCTGTCATCCTGTTACAAACAAGGGACAACACTGGAGAATTCAGAATGCATTTCTTGCCTGCATGATAAACGTCAACTGTTTCCCCTCACAACAATCATACAATGTACATCCCTTGGCATACATGGACAAAGATGTAAATTATCTTCCTTTGCATAATGCAGAACAGCTGTATCAGTGAAGAGGTTTTACAGTAACAAAACAGATGTCTCTATGCAAACTGTCTAGACAGCAAACAATAAAAGTTGACCCCAGAAAGGGAATGGGTCAAACACTTTTGTTTAGTGGGGAGTAATCGGTGCATTTGGCAAACTCAACAGCCAGGCCAGTCTCAATGACCAGGCTTGATGCCTATATGTTCACACACAACCACATATTGACACAAGATAACGTAACATGTGAAGACACAACATCATCAAGTGCCTTGCCAAATGGCATGGGTGATCATGCTGCTCAACAATCTGAGATCTTCAACAACATGTATCTGATCGTGTGTTGACACTCCTTTATGCCGTGACGAGACAAGCTGTCAAGAATCGACTTGCACTGCCTTCCCATCACTTTCCCACAGATCTTTCCAGCAGTCATAACATGTTCCAGTTTCCCCTCTTCTTATAAATGACCCAAATAAAATGATGACTGTCTCTGTCTGATGTTTGTGATTAGGTTCTCTTCGAGTCCTCACCTCTTTCAAACCATCTGCTCCCCAACCCCTTAGAATTTTAAGTATTGTTCTGTAAAACTGGGGTTCTCCAACGCAATGTGGTCAAGCCGTTTGCTTCCTGCTCTGAAGGTCATGGGTTTGCTTTACGGCAGCATCATTCAGTTCTTGAGTGCAATTTTTACTGAAATCAATGGGGATAATCACCGGAGCTATGGAGATTGTGCTCTCTGCGACGCTCTCAGCAAGCTTTTATGCATAGAGAGACTGAGCCATATGGGATAAAACCCGATGCAATGAAGTCAATTCTCTCCCCTTTGTCTTTCTGTAAAACAACATCTCTGAGGCCACAAGAAATTATCCAATGAAGACACACCCTAACACAAAAATGCTATGTAGAGGTTATCTCATATTTACACACTGTACACGGACTTCTTAATATTCCACAAAAGTACAGACCCTTTTCATGCAAGCAGCGCCCTGGATATTTGATGGTGTGATGCCAGTCAACAACACGCCAGCCGCCTTTACTTCCCAGTCTACCCATATTTAAACATTCAATAGGGGCCTAAAATTACTTGATATGATTTGTTTTAATGCTAGTCTTGTGCATGTGATTTTTGACAAAGGACATCAGAGTGTGTTTTTGTGGCAATTTTTTTTTTCAGACTGTATGGAACAGTAGGCAGTAACCTTTTTTTTTTTCAGCACTACTGTAAAAAGACACCTTGTGGTGTGTGCGGGCATCTTTTTTTAAACTTTTTTTTTATAAAAAAAAAAGCCTAGCGTGAAGACCTATGACCTTGTCTTGAAACATACTGAGCATGTGTTACTGTTTCCATATATTTATAGACAAACTGATACCCAGCATGTAATGTGATGAACATCAAACCAGTCACCTTTACTTCCCACGACACTTTCCAATACCCACTTCAGACTAAAGTGGGAGCCCATTTTAAAAACCTATCTTGGTGGAGATTTGAACCTATGACCACAAGCAGGCGGGCAGGAGTTCCAACCACTGTGCTACAGCAGTTCTATGACCTGCGCCAGTAGTAAAAACTGGAAAGCCTATTTTACAAATGCCACACAACTAAAGAAACATATAATAATAATATACTAGATATTTTTAATGTACAAGTTTCTTTATTGTAATTTTTTAGTATATAATCTTTTTAACAAACAATCCTTTTATCTGATATTTTTTCAACACACTATCTTATTTTTGGAAAATTTATCTTTTTTTTTTACAATCTTCTTTTTAACTGTGTCTTGAAACATATAATCATCTGGAAGAGGATAACTCTGGGCCCCATTGCAGGGGGCGGGGGGGGGGGGGGGGGGATTATACCCCCCCCCCCCCCCATCCCATAATGAGGCCCGGAACCAACGGGGAACTCATGGTCTGAAGCAATATGTCCTGTACAGACTTTCTCTGCCCCTCTTGTCCTGATTTTAATGAGTGACCTAACAATAACCACTGCTCTCTTAACCTCAGTATTCTCTTTCTTCCCATTTCTTCTTTCTCTTCTTCTGCATTAATGTGAAGAAATAAATGCGTTGCGCCCGTTTATGACATAAGTGCGATATTTGTGGCTTTCTGCCGACACATTCAGGTTAGCGTTCCATGATAATTATTACTCTTTAAAATTCGCACTGCACTGCTGCCGGGTACTCCACAATAACATTTATCAATGTTAAATATAATTTAAATGATAGAAATCGGATTCCAAGAAGTCACATTCAACAATCCATTGATAACTGTTTCATCTAAAGCAGTGATTACAAATTAGAAAAGACCCAGGCAACCCTTTTATTTTCAACGACCTGCCAGAGGGGATTTCCCTTTTATAGAGTCATGTTAACAAGAAACAAATAATATTAGAATTACACAAAATAAAATGTGGCCCCCTCTACCCCCTTTTTTAAATGATGCCACAGGTTCCTTAACTCTGTGGACCTCTAACTCTGTCTGAAGACCCCTTAAATCTGTCTATGGATCCTGTACAGCTGTGGTCTGTCTGTGAACCCCTTAAATCTGTGGACCCCTTAAATCTCTATGGACCCCATCAATCTGTCTGTGGACCTCTAATTCTGTCTGAAGACCCCTTTAAATCTCTGTGGACTCCAATCAATCTGTCTTTGGACCTCTAATTCTGTCTGAAGACCCCTTAAATCTCTGTGGACTCCATAAATCTGTCTATGGATCCTGTACAGCTGTGGTCTGCCTGTGCACCCCTTAAATCTCTGTGGACCCCATCAATCTGTCTGCGGACCCCTTAAACCTGTATGTGGACCCCTTAAATCTGTCTGTGGACCCCCAGGGGTCAATGAACAATCAACTGGGAACCACTGACCTAAAGCAAACATCGAGTCTATTCACAAAACTAGTATCTGAACATCAGGCATGAATTACTATCGTCATAAAAATAGCAACAACAAACATGTAGTTTAGGCAAAGATACAGCTGATATCATAAACAATGAGAACATAAACGCAGGAATCAGTTGAAAGAAATTGGATGATAAGTGCATGTTGCTGAAATAAGGCACGGATAATTAATCAAGAGCATGTTTTGTAAAGAAAACACCTGGGGAAATTGTTTCCGCATGAACAATGAATTTAAAATGAGTAAGAAACAATAAGAGAATGAAATGTATCGGTATAAAACAAAGGCAGTTTGAGGGGGGAAACACATTTGAACAGGCTTACTACAAGACACCGGAGAATGTACAAAAATAAAGACGTAACTGTCGGCTTGGAACACAGTAACAAAGATGATGATGATATTGATAGTGAATATGATAATAGCGACAACAATGATGATGATGATGATGATACTGATGACGAATAATGGAACCAGTTTGAAGATGCTTGAATTGATGTGTGTATAGACATATGTTCATAAAGTCTCTCCTCTTTTCGTCAGTACTGATTTTCCTCAATCCATCCCTTGAGAGTTGTTGGTAATGGTAACTGCTGAATATGATCATATCGAGTATATTGCCGAATAACAAAACGACACAAATATTGTAAAGATCGAACTTGGGTAAATCTGGAGACAGGCTTCGTTAAACGAACTGGGTACTGTGGAGCACCTGGCGATCGTGATCGAGAGTAGTAAAAAATGCCAGTGTGTGAGTCATTCATTGAGTGTTCAATCAAATCGACGATCGATGGATATCCTTCAGTATCTGGTTGTGCATAAAAACTAAACATTCCGTTACAGTGTTCTATACGAGTATGTAATGTGCGGCCGTAAGAACGAAATGACAGGCTAAGTAGATATCTCTCATCTGAGCTGTCTCGAACAAGAAAAGCTCCATCTGGCTGATTTGTTAATTTATCTTCAGCTTCGTTTCGTGTGATTGGTCCCCAGTACCAACCAAATTTGGACAATCGAAACAGTTCTTGCGTAAGACTCCAGACTTTAGGACTCCAGATTTTTGTCTGCTCTTTCACAGGATCATATTCCACACAGTCTGCCAAGTCAAACATAGGATCAGAACGCAAGTTTTTATCATCATCCTTGTTAGAATTGATAGTTACATCTGCACTATCTGACACATTGTCTTCAAAAGCACTATCATCACATTGAAGTGAAGAAGCAGGATTGAATCTAGATATGTCTTTTGACAGATAACCAGGTTTATCCTTCGAAACTTCCAAATGGTCTGTATTGGAATGCCATTCACTAAATTTAGGCGACATATAATTTTTATGTCGAAAGCTCAAATTATCACAACTGTGCGATACCGAACTCGCCCACGACTCTCCATCGCTGGGCTGCCGATTTCTCTCCTTTAATCTTGAATTAGTCAAGTTCGGTGTAATATTTGCTGAATGGCACTCTCTTATATGCCCATTACACTCATCATTATCAGATTTTTTCATCGATAAAGAGGAAAACCTCCTTCGCAAATTTCGAAATAGTCCCATCTTCTCCTTCTTCCTATGGCCCACCTCCTCGGAAATCAGAATATTACTCGCAGAGCTGTTTTGATAAACTGGATTCTGTAAGTCATTTCTTACCGCGACTCTGATCTGCCCAGCAGAATGTGGAGTCTGCAAGTTGTCGGGACAGGCGGCCGTCGACTGCTGCCGTGGGTTCGGGTGATGATGACAATGTACGAGTCGACCACTGCAATAATAATGTTGGTGATGAGACACGGAAACTCTATCACTCTCGTTTTCACCTTGAGCCGCGTTCTCACTGCGGTGGCTTTGTGAAGTAACTCTGATACCCTTTATATTTACCTTTTTCATCGTCATATCAGAGAATAATAAGCGCTAAATCGCAGCAGAAACAAATGAATAATCGACATTTGTTGTGATTCACGCCTCTGGACCTTCTACTATAAAAACTTCTTCTTGTTTGCGCGCATGCGCAAAATCACCATTTCCGCAAGTTCAGGCTCGAAAAAACTGCATACCTTTCATTCCATTGGTGGAATTTCTATTGTCTCATTGAATGTCTTCTAATGTCTTTTATATCGCTGTTTCTTCTCCTTCTTCTTCTCTTCCACCGTTTACCTCAGCGAGGTGTTGGGGGGAGATGTTAGGTTCGTTTGTGCACTTTTTCCAAGTGTAGAAGTTGGTGTTCATTTCTGTTAGATTGTTCCTGATGGTGTCGCTCCATATCTTTCGTGGTCTTCAACTTGCTCTGTGTTCATTATTTTTTTTTTTCAGTGTAGCTCTCTGGTTCCAAGGCATTCTTCTCAGGTCGCCAAACCATCTCATTTATTGTTCATATATATTCCCTTACATCCTTTTTAGGACGTAATTTTTTCTTATTTGAAGCCCCACTCTGGCTTTTGCCAGGGGCCGCAATATAGGCAGGCCATCAATATGGCCAATTGTCTGAACGCGGTTTCTGGGACCTCTCCACGGTGATCCTCATCCACATGGTGGCACTTTGTGTCATCGGGTGTTTATCGCTTGTGTGGTGTCCTGGTGGGGTAGAAAGTCAGTCAGTCAGTCATTTATTGTTCTTTATTTAATAAATTGCGTGACAGGTTTCAGGCCTAGTCTTCTAATTTCTTCATTCCTGATTTAATCTCTTCTTGTCACATTGGCTGGAACGGGACACAGCCAGAAAGAAAACTGCTGATAGAGACGTCTGGCGATATCTCTGTCAAACCTATACACACCAAAGTAGAAGAGGAGCGTCAAAGTAAGTAAGTCCCACGGGCAGCTCTCCTGAGACATCTCATCTCTGTTGTTGCGCTTTCGCTCATTAGTTGTAGTAAGGGTCATTGTTTCTTCCAACGTTGGTAACATTAAGGTTGAAAAGTTTCAGGTTTAAACGACGGATCAATATCATGGCACACGGGTAGTAATCCAAAAGTGCTCCGTTCCACTTCAAACACAAGCCTGAGTCCGAAGAATCCCAGCACAGTGCACGAACTCCGTAGCACCAGCGAGAATCCTGAAATACTTTGGGTAGATTTTTAACTCCAAATTGTGCCCGGGTCGGGCTGTTAAGCTAATGTTTTTTTTTTATTTCCAACTATCAAGTGACTTTCTACGCACGGGCTTGAACCCGGGACCAACAGCACTCGAGGCGGACGTCATGCCTCGAGACCACGCAGCCCTTCGTTGGCAATAGAGTATCATTTTCTTCTTGAATATCTTTTCTAATGTCTTCTTTACCGCTGTTTCTTCTAACATTGGTAATATAATTCTCCTTCTTCTTTCTTCTTTAAGTCATCTTTTACCGCTTCGGGTGTAGATGGGGATATAAGGTCCCTGCTTCGTGCTTTTCTGGCTGCTTCGACCAAAGACACATTGTAATCTGTAGTTTCTCTAATGTTATCCTTCCATTTTGTTCTTGGTCTACCTCATGCTCTACGTCCCTCTCCTCTTTTGGTACATGCTTTGAATGGTATAACATCAGAAGGCATTCTTTCCAAGTGGGCAAACCATTTGATTTGCTGTCCTTCTATGTAATTTAGAAATGGTTCCTTGCCGACTATATCTCGTATAACCTCATTCCTGATTTTATCTCTTCTGGTCACTCCTACAGCCTTTGTCAGACACCTCATTTCCATGGTTACTAATTTTCTTTTATGTTTTGTTATGACTGACCACGTTTGGCACTAGTAGCATAGGGTGGGAATAAATATGCTTTGTATGAGATGTTTCTTTGTGCTGATTAGGATTGCCTTACGTTGTAAGAGGGGTCCAGCTGTCCCAATACTTGGTCAGCTTTACTGCATCGAATGTCAATTTCTCCATCTAATTTACAATCTTCAGTGAATGTTGGTAATATACTACCATTATCTAATTGAATGTCTTATGTAATGTCTTTTTTATCGCTGTTTTTTTTTTCTTCTTCTTACAATGGTAATATACTACAATTGTCTTCTTTAATGTCTTCTTTATTGCTATTTCTTCTAAAAGTTGGTAATATACTACTGTTGCCCTCTTCAATGTCTTCTTGAATGCTTTCTTTATCGCTGTTTCTTCTGGCGTTGGTAATATACTACTATTGCCCTCTTCAATGTCTTCTTGAATGCTTTCTTTATCGCTGTTTCTTCTGACGTTGGTAATATACTGCTATTATCTCACTGAATATTTTCTGCTTCCTTCTAGACTGTTGTTTATAAAGATGTATAGTCATACTGTCAATTATGTCTACACACAAAAAGGTGTCTTCAAATGCTGCACCAGAGAATGCGCTGTGTTTCTCGGTCTCATCCTTCCTGTTATTTTCTTCTCCTTCTCCTCCGCTCCCGTCTCCCTTTTCTTCACCATCGTCATGATCTTTTTCTTCTCATTGTCACATTTCTTCTTATTATTCTCCATCTCTTTCTCTCCTAGGCTACAGGCTTCTGGCCTGAAGTAGACCTCAGAGATCACGACACTCCAATCCGCTTCGACTGCCTGGTCTGGAACCGTTACAGGCGACAAAATAACTCATGGCCAGTTTCTGTTCTCCCCACTCCTCTGATGAGGTAACCAACCCCAAGCACTAGGTCACCTATAACGACATGCCTGGTAGGATGCGGTGTGACCATTCTTTGCTTCCCATAAGCTATATCCTCATCTCTTAACCACTAACACACAGGCGGGTGTGGTATTACAAGGCAATTGTGTTAGCGCTTCTCCGTCTTTCGAGACGATAGTGTAATATTGTGCTATGAAAAGGCATGGGTCTCTCGTCATTGCTTTTTGAACAGTCTGCGCCATACTGTTGTCTATATCAATGCTAATGTAACAGGGCCAGAAAGCCCCATAGTACTACTATTAAAAAATGAGGAAAGAAAATAGGAAATAGATAGATTCGTTCAGGTGGGGGCTAGAAACAATAATATTCTAGTCCAGGCATTAGATCTTCTGTGTAGAGTCTAATAAGTCAGGTAATAATAAACTAAATTAAAAACATAAAACTGTACTAGGAAACTACTAAGCACACTAACTAGAAGTCCTAAGCTGAAGGAAACAACTGTAACTATGAATACAACGTTGAACATAATTTTTATTGAACTTCACATCAGCATGGCCAAAAAAGTAACGACATAAACGACCACGTGCTGAAACAAAACCTCAAACATACAGCAATTTTACCATTTAACTATTCCTTGTCTAGAATACCAATGAAAATCTATTTTAACCAACTAACCACTGAACGTACCCTTGACTGCCATCAGTCCGACCACGAACGTTACCTGTGGTCGCCATGCCCATAGACCAGCCCATTGTGCAAAGCATCAGTCTTCTTGGGTCAGGCTTCCACAGTTTGGTCCGGAAGTCGAATAGATCGCTGCGAGACTAGACAAAATCTTTTATACCCAGTGAGCCAGATTTTTACCCATCTTTCGTATACTTTATTAACTGCCAATGTTTCTCAAAAGGCCGGTTAGCATTTTCAAACCAGGATAAACCTCTCAAAGACCTTTAATCTGTTGTCCTGTAGCCTTCGTCGCTTCCACCCTACTACACGTCGGATTATTATTTTTGTTGACGTCCCGGCAACTACACAATATGTAACATCAATTGTCTAAAAATCATCTCCCAACTCCTGTTCTACATCCCTCATTACTGGCCACAGCCACCTGAAATAAAAATACTCCTCCCAACATCACGTAATCACTAGTTACTTGCAGTATCATTAATAACATTCACCCAAAAATAGTTGACATCGATATATGATCAAAGCATGACTCGTCCCAAGGAAACTGGATAAGGAACGTATTATAAGTCCCAAAAAAGAAATTACAAAGATGGCAGTAGTCATGAAACATCCAGTGAACATTTGCGTTCGAGTTTCAGCTACCATCTGCAAAATCACTACAAATCCCCCCCTCTACATCAATAATGGCGATATCATCGGAACACGTTAGCGTGTGCGCTTGGGTCCGAGACACCATCAGAGTAGAACAAACCCCCAATTAATCCGCTCCTCGCTAGAACAATGCGTTAAAACACATATCAAATCACTACTAAAACACAACAAGCAAAACCTAAAATAAAATAAAAAAAAAAAACATGTTACTGCAATAAAACATAGTAATCAGTTAACATCCGGATTCTTGATCAGTTGGATTTCCTCTCCGACGTCCAGTAATTCTCCGTAGATAAGTTGTCATATTTGATACCTCAGCCGCAGGGCTTACAATGGACATTTTCGTTTACTACCTCGGCCAAAGGCCTACAAAAGACATTGTCTCGGCCCCGTGGCCTTGGAGAGACGTAACACACTCTTGTCTCGGCCGCATGGCCCTCGAGAGACATATCGGACATTACCTCGGCTTTGGCATAGCCTACAATTACCTCGGCTTTGGCATAGCCTACAAAATGGACATTTTCGTTCACTACCTCGGCCAAAGGCCTACAATGGACATTGTCTCGGCCGCATGGCCCTCGAGAGACATAACACACTCTTGTCTCGGCCGCGTGGCCATCAGAGACATATCGGACATCACCTCGGCCTCATGGAAGGCCTACAATTACCTCGGCTTTGAAAAAGCCTACAATGGACTGATCGGACACGTTACCACTTTTGCCAATGTCTCGGCCGCTCGGCCATCAAGAGACAATCCTCTCGTGACTGCCAACACCGCTTGGCTTCCAAGTGACATTCAACAATTACCTCGGCCGAAGCCTACATGAGAATGGAACGAAATTACCTCGGCCGAAGCCTACAATGTTTCAACTGGTACCAGCAATGTTGAAAAACGTCATTGCTTAAGTGGCTCGGTCGGTGTACTTTAAACAAGGCTCCCTACTATACAAACAGACCTACAGTTAAACCTTGATGTGGAGACATA